GAAAATCGCCTATTTTTGACCACAAACTAAGTTAAAAAATAAGGAAGATCTTCACCGATTGGCTTTATCCTAGTTCATACGAGAGCTATACACTCCCAGAGAAACGTGTCAAAATTTGGAACCGATTGGATTATTAGTTTTTGAGTTATCGTGTCCGTGCCCATTCTCGGTGTCAATTTTTTTTGTTTTTTGATTTAACTCGAATCTACTCTAATTCTAAAATGTCCCTACAAAATTTCTAGTGATAATCTCAAGAACTGGGTGGTTTACGTGGTTTACGAATCACTGTTTCGAGAAAAATGCGTTTAAAGTTTGAGAATCACTCTTGCCGTCACTTGATGCTGACACAATAAATCGGCTATATCTTCAACAGTTCTTGAGATTATCACTAGAAATTTTGTAGGGACATTTTAGAATTAGAGTAGATTCGAATTAAATCAAAAAAAAAAAAAAAAATATTGACACCGAGAATGGGAATCCACTTTTTTGGTGTTTCAGCTTGACAATAACCTCCAAACATACACCAAAACGTCTCAAAGAGTGGATGCGTGATTAAAAAATCAGGTTTTTATAATAACCAACACAATCATCGGATCTTCACCCTATAGAAAAATATTTGAAACATCATAGCAAAATCATAATGGATTCACTAACCAACAAACATAACCTCTTTAGAAATATTCAGGATGCAAAGAATGGTACATCCAAGGATCAAATTGAACGTTTTATGGATTCAATGTCTCGTAGGTGTGCTGCCGTAATCAAAAATAATGATTTTGCTGTCTATTACTAGCAAAATTTGCTTATTTATAAGAAAAAGTTGCCTTATTTTGACCAAGCAAAAATTGGGCCAATTTAGTTTTCAATAGAATATTTGTTATTTCAAAATAATTTTTTTTTCGTTTATATTTTTCTTGTTTTTCAAAAATGAACAAATTACCTATTTATTTCTGAAAAGAACTTCCACTTTAACTTTTTTCAAAAATGTTACAGGTCATATATTCAGGTTGCAATTTCAGTTGATTTAGTTTTGGCCATCAGTGTATGTAACATGCCATTTTTCGGTTTATTAGGGCATTAAACGTGCCGCAGATAATTTAATAAGTATAATTGTACTATTTGGGGTTCTGAGAATCCTCAAGAGAATGGCAAAATCCGTGTGTTTTACAACGAGGTAGTTGGCAACAGATGGTTGAGAGAACCTTGTTGCAAAATCTCAAAAGCTATCTGGCCAAAATTCTCTCGCCGAAGAACTTCTTCACTGTTGTCACATAATAAGAGACAGATCAAAATCATTGTGGAGATCATAACAGGTCACTGCAAGATTCTATCCCTCATTTCGAAATGGGACTCCAACGGAGAGGACGAAGAGGAGCTAGAAACAATTGAACATATCCTCTGTAGATGTCGCTGAGTGGCAGGCAGAAGACACAAACAATTTGAAAATTATGAAATTGATAATCTAGCTTTTTCTCCAAAATAGACCCCAATCAATCAAAAATAATCTCAAAAGAATCAATGCTTGCAACAGTTCACGTGGGAGTCATTTAAATGATGTAGTTTTCCATACATAATAATGAAAAATTATATATCAGGACAAAATATGTTGTGTTTCATTTACGTTTACTTTTGAAGCCACCAAATGGATAACCCTGTAGTAGGTTAAATTTTAAAATTTAAATATTGGTTATTTTTACACTCATTAAACTCTTTCTTTAGAATATATGTACACTGGTGGATAAAACTAAAGCAACTGATATTGATATATAAGCCTTGATTTTTGACTCCGACTACCAACATGTTTTGGTGTATGGTTGGAGGTTATTGTCAAGCTGTCTGAGGCTTTACATTTACTTAAATTCTTCCGAGAACATAATATTTCTCCACTGAGTCGGATTCCAATTAATATGAGCTTTTGAGAAAGCCAATCTGGAATTCCGATATTTTCAGAAATAAAATAACTTTCTTGATAGTTTCCGGGCATATAAGCCTGGCCGGAAACCACTGATTTATTCATGGAATGTTTCTCCGAAATCATATTCTCTTATTATAATAAAATCCTTTTAAAAATTATCTTTAAAATCGAAATAGGCGTAGAAAGCAAAACATAGTAATTATAACAATAAAAATAACTACAATCAGGGTTTAAAATGCAGCATCAAAAAATATTAGCATTAGTCTTACAGAGCTACTGCTAAAAAATATTGACATTATGACTAAATCAGCAAACGGCTAGCTTTTTTAGTTCGTAGCATCCGTGCTAAGCACGAATTGCACATGCGAGCTTTGTTTGTTATGACTTTCGGCAGTTTTCATATTTCGCTGCCGACGAATAATCACGAGGGTTGTTTTTATTTTTGTGTTGCCATGCAGAAATTAGAAAAAAGGCATTTATTTTGTGCGTTTTTATTTAATTTAAACTTGTTAAATCATAATCAAAAACGGTCAATAATAGTACTAAAAACTAAATAATATATTAAATTAAACTCTTTAGCAAGTAATACTTTTGTCTTTGTTCGAAAAAATGAAATTATCACAATCGCGATTTTTAATTCTCTCATATAATTTATAAAATTTCAATAACTTTCATGAAAAATGCTCGGGTTTTGTTTGCATATAAATCTGCTGCAGCCATAGTCAAGAAAGTCTTTATTGTAAGCTTTGGTTGTTATCACTGACAATTATATTCATTGCTATTTTGTCTGCTGACAAAATCATATTTTGCTGTTAAAATTATAATAAAATACTTTTAAAAATTATCTTTAAAATTTTGAAATAGGCGTAGCAAGCAAAACATAGTTTTTATATCTTGGCGTAAAAATAACTAAAATTTTAGAGTTGCTTCAGTTTTGTTCAAGCACTAATTGAGACAATTCCCTTATCTATAAATTATTATTTATTTTATAATGAATTTTGTATTAATGCTTTTGTTTTTTAAGAGTGAATGAAGTATTCGATTTAAATCTGAAAAAACAACCGCGATATATTTATTAAAAAATATATATATATATATATATATATATGCGATCTTTATTAACTCTGCCATTTTAGTTGCTTTAGTTTTGGCCATCAGTGTATATACAATTAATATGACACACTTTAACTAATTACAGATTGCGGCTGGAAGAAAAGACTAGCAACAATAGAACAACACTCAATAGTTTATAATTAAAACATTTATTTTTACAATTGACAAACATATTGCAAAAATTTACAACGATACAAACAAAAAAATGACAACATTTCAAAGCGAGGTAACAAACGGACAAAAAGCAATGGTAAACACATTAAAAGCAAAAAAGCCTTATAACTAGAATTTTACTAAACATTTATTAAGAAAGAGTTCCGATACAAAAGGGAGGGTCCAAAGTATAATTTCTAATACTCATAAGAATATATAAATAAAAATGTTAATAGAATCATGAACAAAAAAAAAAAAAATAATCTATATTTAACCTATTTAATGTAATCCGAATTACTACAACACATCCACTTCGGTTGGAAGCATTTAAAATACAAATTGTTTTATAAGCTATAGTCATTTAAAGTATTAGGTCATTTCCCTCTAAGACGATCTCGTACCCATCAGTCTTTTATCGATTTACAGTCGACTGTATTTGTACGAAGTCTTGTTGAAAACTGCGCGATCAACAAGTTTTTTAGAATAGAACAGAGAGAATATCCCTACCTCACCTTTCACGGATGAGTATGACGTGAATAGGAATTGCGTGTTTTCTTGAATAATGATAGCCACGTTAGTGGAATTTTGAAGACCATTTATTGGTCTTCAAAATTGGCAGCAAATGGTTTGAGTATAGAAATTTAAAATCCTTTGGGCCGGAATTTTAACGTCGTAGCAAGATATCCGTTGCTGTCACTAGGGATCACAGTGGGGATCGTAACAGTCTTAGCAAAAGGCACACAAATGTGTGATAGATACGGAAATGATATATATCCGTCATGGTTAGATATAATACTTAAAATTCATCCTCTACTCTGTCCTTCTTCCTCTCTCATTTATTCTCTTTTCAGATACTCAGAATCATTTCCAAATAAGTTACTGCAATTTTTTTTATTTCGGTCACTGCGCTTTTTATTCGGTTTCTCAATTCTGGATCCATATGGTGCCCAACGTGTTTAGGTATTTTGAAGACCCTAGCATCATGTTCTTACCGAAATGATTGTCACTTGGAATATCACACCATATCCTTCCAGAAATAAGTTCCTTATAAACATATCCCTAAAATAGTAGTCCTTGCTGAATTAGTTGTTCGCTTCTTCTCGACTAAAGCGTGATTAACGTGATGCCCTTATTTCTTTTGAGTTACATCAGCAAGTATCGCTAATACTCTAAAACTATCAATACCATTGTAGGCACAGGGTTTAGGTGTAGGGGATTCCAAATTAATTTGGTTTAAAAAATTGTTATATACTCCATGAGGAGTATATAAATAAATGAGGAGGCGAGTGCATTACTCACAACTTTAAAGGCATTTGTCCAAAACGATGTTTTTATCACTGGTGCGCACCCATATACTAATAATTAAATCCGTTTAAATAATCCAATAATAGGCCAGACTTGGCTTGTCTACCAGCAATCAAAACTTCCCAATCAATATATATTTAGAGGGCTTGCGTTGCTTGGGTTATGATCAGAATCATTTAAGTCGTACCTTATAATTACATGGGTATGAACATACGAGTATATTCACAAAGATATATCCTTCGAACTCTTTCTTAATAAAAGACATGTTTAATCATAATAAGCATATCTAGTTGGGAACAAAGTATTACATCCAATATAGTATAAGGGTTGTGTTCATGTGTGTGTGTGTGTGCAATGAAATGAAAATTTATTTAAAATAACAGCAAAAACAAAGTAAAAGGAACACACATTGAAAATTATAATTTGGCGATATAATTAAGTTTTAGTTCTTTCTTAGGGATTCTAATGATTTTTTTCTTTTTAATTTTTTCTTTATAACAAACAAAACACATACCTTGACACTGATATCCTTGTTTACCAATTCCCCTGTAAAGGCAAAAAATTTCCGTAGCTTGTATATTTTATGTGTGTGGGAAATATACTCAATAAAAAGTTATATATAGTGGCGATTATTCAGAGATAGGGGTTAGAGATGGTGGCATGGATGGGTGTTGGGTGGGTGGGGTGTTTGGGAGAGTAATGGGTAATATTGGAATTGATAGAGATGTATGAACTAAACTAAATGTAATACGTTTAAATATAAAAAAAAATAAATATAAAAAAGAAAGAACTTCAATCTGTGAGCACCATGAAATTAAAAAAAAATGAAACGATTTCATCAATGTTGTATAAAAGCATAACCAAAGAAAAAAAATAAAAAACTAAACAGAAATGGGATAAAGCATAAAGAAGAATGTAACGAACGAATGAAAAATACAAAAAATAATGATGAACCCCAAATTATGAAATGAAGGAATTAAGTCTAGCATCTAAAAAGTAATAAAAAATCCCAAAAGAAGCAATACTCCACAAAACCAAAACTTTGTTAATTACCAAAAACTAAAATAAAGGAAATTATCCAAATAAATAAATAATTGTGATATGGATTTTTGGAAATATACTAGATTATATAGAATTGATTGAAAGAAAGTTATCATTTTAGACGATACATCATCTTCATGCATATGCATACCAAATAAATTCCCGGCAATGTGAACAGAATGTTGGTTGACGCAAAAACGTTGCCATAAATTTGTGACCATTAACCTGAAAGATAAAAAAGAAGAAATTATTAAAATGCATATATAAGCATATTATAAATAAATAGAAAAGTGTGTATGTTCCTTTTTAAGATTTAGAAAATTTTTTGTATTCTTAACGATATGATGAAATTTATTTTAACACAAATATAATCTATTGAGACATGAAACAATGCCTATCACCTTTGCTTTAAACTTAATTGTCTCCTAAATATTTTCGTAACTTTATTTTAGTCTATCTATAAGCCAGTGGTATTTAACACAGATAACGCCAGAGATTAATTCTTCAACATCTTAAATATTTTATTAAAAAATCATTAATTTTATAATAAAATTTAGTTTCCACATGGGAAATAAAATAATTTGTAGAATTTCACTGAAATAATGGTTGCATTCTAGATGTGGTACTTGGTGTTCTTTCAACATACAACAATCTAGGCCTACTTCAATACTCTGTGCAAAATTTTGTCTCAATCGGACCAATATTTGGAGTTTCGTGAATCATTTACCTAAAATCGGACGAAACTTTCTATGGGAGATATATCTAAATCTGAACGGATTTCAACCAAACTTGGCACACACCAATCTATATTCTGTGAAAAATTTAGGTTCAATCGGAACAATATTGGGATTTTGGTGCACCATTTACCTAAAATCGGACAAAACTATATATGGGAGATATATCTAAATCTGAACCGATTTTCTCCAATTTCAATAGGGTTTGTTATTGGGCCAAATAATTGAGCTATACCAAATTTCATTTAAATCGGATCATAAATGCGATCTGTAATTTGTTCACAAGAATACATGGACAGATGGGCGGACGGACAGACGCAAATGCATAAAACGACTCAGAAAGTGATTCTATGCATATTCTCAAAAGGAACCATGGGTCTATATCGATTCCATTTGCCTGTTACAAACATATGCACAAAGACATAATAGCCTGTACCATAGTGTGGGAAGGGTTTATATAAACATACCTGATGTACACGACGTCGCATAGCACCACGACGACGATTAAACCCAGCTCGTTCTTTGAATTCTTTGTTGGCGCCAGCGCCACATACGGCATGTTCAACAACCGCAACATCTTTGGTTTGATCTGCAAAAGAATAGAAAAAATAAAATTAAATATATATTTTTTAATTTTGGAATGGTTTAAATTAAAATTATTGTTATACGTATATCACAAATACCATTTCACGCACTGTTATAGCTTGCGAAATATGATGGTTTGTTTAGTCAAGAACATTTTTTCCGATTTTTTTGCAATTTTTATTAAATAATTTTACGCTAAATAATTTTTAAGGGGACCAATGAGACCAAAAACCCTTATTTTTGTGTAGTCACTCTAGAAGCCACAAAAGTTTACATAGGAAAGAATGTGCAAGCGTGTTTTGATAAAGATCGATCAATATGTGATTCACTCTCTGACTGACTTAACGATTCATCAACGCCCAGAGGAAACAACTGAAGCAAGAATCTTGAAATTTGGGCTACGGATCACTCTTAGTGCGAAGGTGTCAGATAAGGCTGGGTTCATGGATTCATACGGCACGAAAAGTATTAAAAATGGTACAATTTGTATTTGCGAAATTTGGATTGATGGTCATCGATGGAGTGTAGGATAGATGTATGAAAGGGTTTTTGGAAGTTCGAACTATAAGTATCCGAAACGGATGGAGCTGGAATCCTGAGATTTGCAATTAATATTACCGCCGGAGTGTAGGATTGCTATATGTAGGTATTTTCTGATATTTGTATTTATGAGCACGAAAGGTACTAAATGGTACTATATTTGGTACAATTTGGATTTGGGTGAGCCGATAGAAATAAGATTACAACTGCATTGTAGAAGTTGTAGTTTTGGAAATTTCTATTTATGAGTACAAAAAGTACTAAATTTGGTAACATTTGATTTTTGAGTGAACCGGTTGATCTAGAATCCCGTCATTTGGAGTTAGGATCGGGGTGTGTTGGCACTAAATTTCATATAATATGATTTTAGGTGATCGGATCGAGCTGGAATTCTGAAAATTGGAATTGAGATTACTGTGGGTGTATAGGGTTGAGGTATGAAGTTTTTGAAACTCGTACATATGTATACTAAGAGGTACTAAATTTGGGCGATCTGGAATCCTGAAATTTGGAAATATGATTTTTATTGGATTGTAGTGTAGGTAGTTATGGAAATTTATATTAATTTTATTTGGCTTTGGTTAACCTAAAGAGCTCGAATCATGAAATGTTGAATTGGTTTTGAAATAAATTCTACAAGAGTAAATGAGGCTATAAATGATATCAAATTTAGTATAGACTTAGATTTCTGTTGCGGCTAGAATTGGTGTGTAGAGTTGAGATATGGAAACTTTGATGCAATTTATTTGAAAAAAATATTTTAAAAACAGGTTCAATTTGTCGCCATTCACAGATAAAAACCAGTAAGGAAAGCAGTAAAGTCGGACGGGGCCGACTATATGATAACCTTCACCACTTTGGGTATATTCAACAGATGAATCTTAACTGACGTCGCATTTTTAAAGGCCCAGTAAAATGAAATTGAATCCATAAACATGTCATTCTGCAACCGATACTATATTTTTCATTTGGTCATGTATAGAAGCTATATCTAATTTTCGATTTTAGGAAACTTAACACACATTTACCTTAAATCATACGAAAATATATACGGGAGCAATATCCAAATCTGAACCGATTTTCAGGAAACCTAACACACATCATTCTAGACCTAATTTATTACGCTGTGCTAAATTTTGTGCAAATCGAGAAATATATAGGGACTTTGGTCCACCATTTACATTAAATCGGACGAAAATATATTTGGGTGCTATATCTAAATCGTAACCGATTTTCAGGAAACTTAACACACATCATTCTAGACCTAATTCAGTACGCTGTGCCAAATTTTGTGCAAATCGAAACATATTAAGAGACTTTGGTGCACCAGTTACATTAAATCGGACGAAAATATATTTGGGAGCTATATCTAAATGTAAACTGATTTTCACGAAACTTAACACACATCATTCTAGACGTAATTCATTACGCTGTGCTAAATTTTGTGCAAATCGAGAAATATATAGGGACTTTGGTGCACCATTTACATTAAATCGGACGAAAATACTTTTGGGAGCTATATCTAAATCTGAACCGAGTTTCAGGAAACAACACACATCATTCTAGACGTAATTCATTACGCTGTGCCAAATTTCGTTGAAATCGAAAGATATTAAGAGACTTTGGTGCACCATTTACTTTAAATCGGACGAAAATATATATGGAAATATATATACCACATCATTCTAGACGTAATTCATTACGCTGTGCCAAATTTCGTGCAAATCGAGAATTATATAGGGACTTTGGTGCACCATTTACTTTAAATCGGACGAAAATATATTTGGGAGCTATATCTAAATCTGAACCGATTTTCAGGAAACTTAAAAAACATCATTCTAGACCTAATTCATTACGCTGTGCCAAATTTCGTGCAAATCGAGAGATATATAGGGACTTTGGTGCACCATTTACATTAAATCGGACGAAAATATATATGGGAGCTATATCTAAATCTGAACCGATTTGTCCCAATTTCAAAAGGGTTCTTCCTTGGGCCAAATAAGTGACCTATGCCAAATTTCATCCAAATCAGATCATAAATGTGACCTGTACTTTGTTCACAAAAATACATGGACGGACAGACTGACATGTGTAAATCGACGCAGAAAGTGATTCTATGCATATTCTCAAAAGGAACCATGTGTCTATCTCGTTTCCTTTTACCTGTTACAAACATATGCACAAAGACATAATACCCTGTACCACTGTGTGGTGAAGGGTATAATTAAAAAATACGTGTTTTGAAATAACAAATGTTTAAAAATACTTCGAGTAGTCCAATATCCCTCCCTGTTACATTTAAGCCTCTTTATACTGATGGAATTTATATTTTATTAAAAATTTTATTATATTATTTAAAATATTTTAGTACAACTCTGTCCTAACACATTAAGAGCATTTCTTTCATACACTGGATTGTGTCTTCCCATAGTTAACATAACCGATAATTTTTGGGTCCATTTCATCCCATAAATATTAACCGATCATAACCGAAGAATTTGGTAAGGACCGGACCCAGATGCAGGTCCAGGTCTGCAGAGCAAATTAATTAGGACACGACTGCAAAATTATCGACTCGGATTCATCATATCGGAAGTTAAGGTTTAGACGGAGGAGGCTAAGTCAAAACCTCCGTCCAATGATTTGAATGGACATCCATTTTTTCGACATTTTAAACACATAGAATTGCGCAAAACCAAATCATGGTCATGATAACGCACTAGCACCCAGTGGAAACTGTGGACTTTGGACTAGTAATATACGAGGTTTAAAAAACTTTCATAGATGTAATATCTGGGCGGTTTACTTTTAGAGGGTAAAAATAGTTAATAATGAACGTCTATTATTTTCTTTTTTATCAAACATCGTATAAATAGTGATATAAGTAGTATTATTCTGGCCGATTATTATGCAATTCTAAATCTCTCGTAATCTCTCTAAAATACCAATGAAACTGTGAGTCCGATAGGTGCCCCGCCACCTTATTTTAAAGTATGTAGACATGGCTCAAAATTGTATTTTAATATATTTAATGTGTACATACTGATAAATATTATTAATATCATGCTAATAAAGATAAAGACACGAGTCTACCGGTAACTCATTCAAAATATTTATCAAAATCGTATCTATTGTAAAATTGGGATATATCGCGGATTATTAAACTAAATCTTGGAATATGATATTTAACTGTGATGACAATACTTATTTTGTGTTTGAAATTAATAATGTTCAAACTGTTTCGGTGACATTTTGCTTTAAAATTAAAAAAATAATTCATTTTACAGATCTCAAAATCATAATTTTATTACAACACCAATCACGTGTATGATCTCATAATTGCAATTATTTCACTTACCATTTTTATTTTTAAGTTCTATAATAACATGAATTTTTCCTTGAGGTTCTAAATTCACCCATAGATCCGGTACACTGCTTTCATGTTGCATAATATCCTCCAGAGGTATTATACAATTTGCCACAAAATCGTCCGGTGGGAGCGCTGCATCGTGAAATACTGTTAAATTTATATTTTTTGCATTCGTTACATCGTGCACGAATTGTTCATTCCAAACGGGATCAAATGTTTTTGGACGTGTTGTTGAGCGATCTGTAAGATAAAAAGATAAACATAGTTTCAATTGAATTTGTTAAAAATATACGACAACATGGTAAATCGTTTTATTCTTCTTTTTTGCTAAAAAGAACTCAAATAAATACATAAAATATCAAGTTCTACCAATATATTATAGCTATGTTGAACTGAATTATATATATATATATATATATATATATATGGCTAGAAACAAATATAGTACCCCGAGAAAATAGCTAATTGTGATTGTAATTTAAATTTCGAAGTAATATTCCATAAATAAATCAGTGATTTCTCGAATTATAAGTTGATTTTATGCCACTGTATCAGTGGTGATAGTTCAGCACGGAAAATGCTTCTAGGCCAAATTTTTCCCGAAGCTCTGTGGCTTTTGTTAGACCCACAGTGGTCAGATTTAAATTCCATATAAGGGGAAAATGCATACCACAATGTAATAGACCCCGCCGTTTCCCCACAGTGGGACCTAACCTATTTTCCCCTTATATAGTGGGGCCAAACCCTCTTATCCCTTGCATTCAAATTTAAATTTAACTCGTTGGAAAATACAGTGTTGGAAAACGTAAAAATAAATATTGTGAAATAAATTTAAATTTATTTTCACGGACATGTCAATAATGGCATTGGACTGATTTTCTTTTTACGATGTTCGGTATATTTACGACATATATGGAGTAATGGATCTGATTGTTTAAAGAAATGTGTTGAGAAGTGCTATGGTTCACTTCGCTGAAGAATATATACCGCTTATTTGAGTTTTTCAGCTGGACAATAAACTCCAAACATACACCAAAACATGTCATACATTGGTTGCGGGTGTCAAAAATCAAGGTTTTATAATGGCCAACACAATCATCAGATTTTTACCATATAGAAAAATCTTTGGAGTATTATAGATAGCAAAATCAACAAAGTTTTACAAACAGAGATTCAGGATGCAAAGAATAGTATACCCTAGGATCAAATTGAGCTTTTTATCGATTCAATGACTCGTAGGTGTGCTGCCGTAATAAAAAATAATGGAAAACTTGCTTATTTATAAGAAAAAGTAAAAAAGTTTCCTTAGTTTTGACCTAGCAAAAATTGGGTTAATTTAGTTTTCCATAGAATTTTTTGTATTTTAAAATAAAATATGCGTTTATTTATTTATTTATTTTTAATGGATGAATCAGTACCGATTAAAGCGAATTTCAATATAGTTTTTTCTATATGTTGCTGATCGCAGAAAGCCAAATAAAATGCCCCTAAATAATCAATCCATAGGTCGCCTCATTCCTAAACTGACCTCCCTCGAAGTGGCTTATTAGGCAACATTGTGTCCATCAGTGTTTAGAATCGTGGAGCTGACGGTATTCGAACGGAGGCTTGTTAATACCTCAAAAAGTTTTTAAGGCTTAGTTACAGTGTTCTTAACACGTCATGGTCGAAACTCCATGGATGTGGCTGCCTTGACACGCGCAGAATTGTAGAAACGCAATTTATACGACCCTTTCTGCCAACTTTTTAACGGACCTTTCCTTTGACTCTCCGAATGTTGCACTCGATGTTGACGACAGACTGAAGAGGCATTCGTCTTCTCCGGCCATTCCGCCATGAATTATCCCGACCCAATGAATCAATGGTGATTTGAGGGAACGTAAATTTTGGCGAATATGGAATACCGAATTTCATGGCGACAAGTGGGATGCCGATGCTACCAAGACAAAACGCCATTGAGGTATATCTCGGTGCCGCTTCAGCACAATCAACTACTTAATATCTAGGATCCGAAACGACTTGAGTCTTACTCGGCCAACGTCTGTCACTTCAGCCCATTGTGCAAAAGCAATAGTGTTATTACAACAACTAAATGACTCATATTCACTCCTGCTATAGCCTTTTGTACAGACTTCACCTACCCAGGCACGTCAGGAGAGATCTTCGTCTTCATCTAGATAGAGAGGTCAAAATGTACACGCGTGAATCCCTAAATCAACATGCCTATCAAGAAGGTTTGAATGACATTCATACAGACGCATTTGTTCAGGCAATAGAATAATATCGTGTGAATATAATAATCGGAGACTATCCATCATCCATTGCAGCAGAGGAGAAGCAGCGGCAAGTCTTAGCTCGACTAAGGTCTGGATGGTGTAACTGCCTCGATTTCTATTGGGCACGAATTGACCTAAACCTTTTTAAAAATCGTCAAATCATCATCATTTTTTAATTTGGAGATAGGCAACCATAACCAGAAATTTTATAACCAGGGGGGTATAAATTATGACAGTCGATATCGACCTTTTTCGATCGATGTCTTTCAATTTGGTATGACCGCATTTAATATCGACCACATTTCTTTGAAATGTCCAATAAAAACTATGGAGGGTTTGCTCGTAGCTGAAATAGATATCAAACCAGTGAGCGGAGCAGTATAGTCGGACGGCGCCGACCATATAATACCCTACACAACTTCCACGAAAATCTAACTTTGCGTTATTTGCACCCTCTGGAAACCTGACTAAAGGCCAACATATATTACTAATATTCAGTAGACGAGGGCTGTATTTGTCCAGATTCTCTTTACCGTGGGTTATGTTGCGATGTTGGGCTTTCAATTGTGGCCTATAGATCCACTCAAAAAAAAAAACAAAATGTTTAATTTTCGGTCTTCTTCATTCCAAAATTATTATCTGATCATCACCGAGAGTTATAGGCGTTGTCCTTGACCATAACTGGAATCTCATGGAAATTTTCAAAGCGATATTTCCGCCCTCTAGTATGGTTTTGGGTTACTAAATAATGTCTGAATACGTAAGCACCTGTAACTATTTAAGTGTAGCTCCCACATCTGAGAACATACGACCATATAATTGGTATCACTCCAATTGGTATCACTATCACTCCAACCACTCCTCTTGAACATACTATTTGGATCTAGGTCCTTCAGGGGCAAATATATACGCCATAGAATACAAGTTTTGTCATTTTTCACACAAAATTCAGGGTCCATTTGACCCGCTAAATATTGACTGATCTTTATCAAAACTGGCATGTTCATTCTTAGTCCCGATCCCCTTCTCCATGCAAAAATTCGCCATGTTTGGGCCATAATTGCGGCCTCTAGAGCGACCAGAAAATCAGACAAAAATTTAGTTTTTGGTCCATTTCATCCCCTAAATATTAACCGATCTTTTCCAAAAACAATAGGGGTCTTCATTGGCCAGAACCCATCCTACTTGCAAAATTTCGTGAAGATTAGTCCATAACTGTGGCCTGTATCGTGTTTACAAAGATAATGGACAGGTCGAGATATGACTATCGGTATACATAAAGGTGGGTCTAGGACCAATATTTCGCGGCGTTACAAACTCTTGGGGCTGCACAAAGCTATAATACCCTGACAACATAGTTGTGTAGGGTATAAATAGACGAAAAAAAAAAACAAAAAGATTGCCACTGAAGGGGATTAAAGTCGGAATGGGCTGAATATATAACACACTAAACCAACTTTGTTGCGTTCAAATATCCCATAATTAATACTCTTACAATTTCAATGCCTTGGGTCAAAAGAGTTAACTTTGGCATGATTTCCAAAGTTTAAAAAATGCGGCAATAATTATTTCTTTACATTTGCTAGGAACTATCCGAATAATAATGAAATTGTCTAGTTTTTTTGATTAATATGACGTATAATTAATATGCGTAAATACTTAGTAACGTTAAGGATATGACTAAATTGGTGGCATAAACTAAAGCAACTGAAACTACAAAGATAATAAATGATCTGTAATTTTTTGAAAATAAAGATATAGGAAAGGTTTTTTTAGAAAAAATAGGTAATTTATTCATTCTTAAAAAAACATTGACGCAAAATTTGTTTTTGAAATAAAAATATTCGATTGAAAACTAAATTGGCCTGATTTTTGCTTGGTCAAAATTAAAGCAACTTATAAATATGCAAAATTTTGCTAGCAAAACCATCATTTTTCATTTCGGCAGCACACCTTGAGCCATTAAAATAATGCTCAATTTGATCCTATTCATTGCATCCTAAACTTTTGGGATGAGGTTATGTCTGTTTGTGAAACTCTTCTGATTTCGCTGTGATACTTCAAAAATTTTTCTATAGAGTAAAGATCTGATAATTGTGTTTGTCATTATAAAACAGATTTTTGACTCCCCCAACCAATATTTGGCATATTTTGTTATTGTCAATCTGAAACAACCAAACAAGCGTTTTATTTTCTTCAGCGAAATGAACTATGGCATTTTTCAATACATTTGTATTGAAAAATCCGATCTATTAATTCATAAAGCTCGCAAATAAATTGAACACCATAAAAAGTAAAATCGCCCAATGTCATTATTGACCCTCCATGCTTCCCTGTACCCTTGCAATACTGTTGCAGGAGTCTTTATGTCTGAGTCTTTAATATTTCCGTTGACATCATAAATGGATATTTTTTACTGCTATGACAATTTTTTGATCAGTAGGAACTGATGTACTTTTGCAGCCTGTCTGTCAGTACTGATATAGTTGCATAAAATCAAGTTATAATTCGAGAAATCACTGATATCTCATGGAATATTTCTCCGAAATCATTTTCTGCGATATATTATTTTCGGAATCATTTGCTGTTTTATAGGTGTACTGTATTTGTTTCTAGGCATTTTTATTGGCAGTAAGTAAAAATTGAAGACAGTTCCCTTAAAACGTATACAGCTTGATATCATAATTTCATCGTACAGTCCGAAGAAATATAAATTTTGTCTCTTCGAAAGAAAAAAAGTTTTTCGGGTTTCAAATTAAAAATCTATGAAACCACGTTTTCTCTACATTTACCGTTATAAAACTAATTTTCGAAGTGACCCAGAAAAACCAAAAAACCCAGACCCAGGGACTCCAACTAAACAGAATTGGAACATTAGAACCCCTGAATAAAATTCGTGTCGCACAGTGTTATTACTTATTTTATAAAGAATTTTGAATTAATGCTTTTGTGTTATTTTAAAAGAGAATAAAGTACCCGATTTAAAAATGAAAAAAGGAACACGATATCTTTATTTTGGGAAAAAAAAGTTATGCTGCATTTATTAATGTTGCTATTTTTTCGCTTCAGTCGAGCTCTCGATTTTTAGACTTTTTGATTTTTTCTTTTACTAAATAGTAGATTTTACGATCTTTCGATTTTGTCAAGCCTGTCTAAAAAACGATTTTCGACTTCTACCGACCAATTTTGTTTCTTTTTATTATATAAACTTTGCCACAGATAAAATCATGTTCTGGAATGTGTAATTTTTTTGGGAAATTTGCGCTTTTTGATAATAAACCAAGAATTTATGAAGAAAATCGAATGTCGATTTTGCAATTTCCTCAAAGATCACAAGTCGACTTCGACTTTTAATAAGTTCACTTTTCAAAACAGCTGTTTTTTCTCAGAGTAGATGTCAAAAATTTCGACTTTGTTTTCGTTTTCATAATGGAAGTCAATTCACAATAATGCATTTTGACAGCAAACTTGAGAGGTATCGATAATCAGCTGGTCTCCCTTGGTGACCTTATTTATAGGCCATGTCGACTTCGACTTTTAGACTTTTCAAAACAAAGAGAAGATTAATCGATTAGTCGAAAGCCGAATTACTTATTCCTACACCAGTTTATGTTTATATCGGACTTCGTTTGAATCTTCCTTCAGAGATTCTATTTCTATCTTTTAGGTATAAAATATTAGGTTAGGGGGAAAATCCATTATATTTATATAAACTTTAGGACTTTATTTAACATGCTTCTGAATGTCCAAATATGCACCGTTTTGTTGTATGATTTGTTGCAATTTTAAAGATAACTTCGATTAGTCGATTTTCTCAATCTTCACTAGATACCAATTTCTGGCGAGTCACTGTAGATGTGTGTGGTCTAGCGTTTTCCTGTTGGCCAATTCTGCCCGTTTCTGGTAATTGCAAATGGTTTAAAACAGTTTTATGGTCGACTGCTAAAATGCCGGTCAACTGCGATCATTTCTCCGATTTTATCGACCTTTTCGAAGACCGGCGTACCTGTGCGAGGTACACCTTTAACATCAAAAATTCCTGAACGGAATCTACGAAACGAAAAATTGCACATAATTCGCTATTATAGTACATAGACAATTTTAGTCCCTAGGCTTTGTTCACTTACATTTTTAACATCCTGTAACTCACAATTAAATGCACCCAAGAAAAAAAAACAGCAAAATAATTTTTTTTATTGCGAAATGTCACTTTTCCAACGAGCATAAATCTGAAATTGTTTGATCGATACTTTACGAGAAACCTATCAGTACAGCCATCAACCGAAGCAATAATGGATTTAATTTCCCCCAACCTAATATATTTTATTGGTTATCTATTTTTGGAAGATCTTTGGACGGCATTCGTTTAGTAGATAATAATCAATGGGGAGATAGTTGGGAGTTTTATATCTATAAGACTTATTGAAGGTCTCTAGTTAATTTCAGTCTCGAAGTTTTCTCACAAATAACAGTTTTATAAATAAAAACAATTCTATGAAATGGCTGTAAAGATTTTTAGATCTACAAATTTTAAATAATAATTATCTGATCACTGTTACTTACCAAAATGCGAATCATCGACGTCGATCGAAACATAAGGATCAATTAATTGTTCATCGGCTAATTTGCCGAAGGTTAAATTGTGTCGTTTTTGAAAATCTGTTGGGCGTAAACCGCTCGCCTCGCAGACTTTTATTTGTAGTTTACCCGTAAACATCGTCGTGTGTGGAAGCTGTTTTTCTTTTTTTTTTTGTTGTTGCTCTTTTGTATTGTTATTGTTGTGAACTATAGTTTTGTGTGTTTCCTTGTTGTTTTCTAAATTAAATTGTTGTTGTTTTTTTTTTAATTTTAATTTTTTATATATTTTGTTTTTATTTTGTCGTCGTTGAGTGTTGGTGTTTTTTTTTTGTTTTTGCTTTTGTCGTTTTATTTTCGTTCGTTTTGTTTACTTTTGTTTTTGGAATTTTCTTTTCTTTTTTTCTTTGTTTCTTTTTGCTTTTGTTATTACGTTTGTGTTGTTGTTGATTGCACGTAGAAAAATGTTAAGAGGTTGCCCAAACGGAAACACGATAAAAGAAATGAAAACGGATACGGATACAAGGTGAAAATGTATGCGCGTGAATTCTTAATAAAAAATAGAACAAAAAGAAGAACAAGAAGAAAAGGATGTAGTAGTTGGTAGTAGTAGTAGTATTCTGTTGCAGCAACGACGGCGTAGGCGACGACAGCGACCACTACACTGTAACTTTCGAGGACGATTACGAGGACAACGTTACACCGAATCGAGGAGAATCAAACACTAAACACCCCAAGTTGTATTCACGATGTTGTGGTTTGTTATTCACTTCGCAGCCCCTGTGTTTGTAAAGACACTGACACAGTTTAGTGGCTGGCTGGATGCCGAGTGATGCTGCTGCTGCTTTTGTTATTGTTGTTATTTTTTGTGGTTATAATTGTTGTGCTGTAAGCTTTCTACAATGACGCCGCTGTCTGTGTCACCGACGACGCCGATACAAATGTTTTGACACTTGTGTGTTTACTACATACGAGGGTCGTCGAGTCCGTTATGCGAGACTCGAGATGTTTGAATCGAGAATGGATGGAGTTCTGTTGTTTTTCTGTTTACACTTCAAATTGTATCCGCTGCTTTTGTTTGACAATGTTTTTTTATTGTTTATAATGTTAACTAATTTTTCTTTTATTCAGTTTTACTTTTCTGTTCTCTGTGAGAATAAAAATTAAGATAAGTAAAAAGCAGGGTGCGAAGAATGATTAAAATACACCCTTCTCTCGAATGCTCACGGGCGAGAATTCGAATCTTTTCAATTTATCGCGGATGATAAAGTTTAAATGAATGCACAAGCATTTGCATTATCTCGCGAATTTTCGCATTATACGAAAAATTCACGAACGATAAAATTTCGCTGCAGGCGTCGTCGATTCATTCTTTCGCGAGAATCCTTTGCTGAATATTCTTTTGAAAAACTCAAAAAACAAATGTTCGTGTGTGAGAGTAACTCTTGCTCTCTCGAAAAACTTCGTCTGCAATAATACATTCAAATTCATGAAAACAAACGATAACACAACGCCTTCATCAACAGCTGAAACGAGACTGATCGGTGGTTGTTTTCTTTCACGAACGTTTGTTTTTAATGTTGTTGCCTTTTTGATCATTCTCGAGAATTCGGGAATGTTTGTTTTCATTCGTGAGAGAATGTCAGAATGAATTTCAACCACCAAACGGAATGTGTGTGCGAACATTCTTTTGGCGAATGCTCGTTTGGTAAAAAAATTTATCGCCATAAATTCATTCTTAAAATGAGCAAAAAACGAAAAGAATGTATTTTGAATCATTCGCGAGCGAATTTTTGCGCACCCTGGTAAAAAGGCGAGTAAGTTCGGCGGGCCGAAATTTTTACACCCTCCACCATGAAGGGGACATTTAAAATACCTGTTATCGTTCAGGGCCGACGATGTCATGTTAAGGTAGATTTGACATGCAATGAGAAAGCCAATGCGGTTTAAAAACTATATCCTTAAAATTGCGTCAATATTGACAATTTTTGGGTATGAAGTTTCGCTACCTAATGACAATCCAAAATATGTACTAAATTATAGCGAATTTTGTTGCACATCGTACTAAAACGTCCCAAAATACAAATTTATAGTCAACATGGCTGGAAAACGTACCAAAAATACCTAATAATTGGGGTACCTTTATATGGTGGCTATCCTTAAAAGTGGACCTACACTGATGGTCAAAAACAAAGCAACTAATATTTCAAGGTTAATAGATAATTTTCTCAATTTTTGTCTGGACAAAACTAAAGCAACTCTACAGTACCAACAGATGTGCTCTAAAATTTTAGTTATTTTCAGAGATTTCTCGAATTATTAGTTGATTTTTTACAACTGTATTATCAGTAGTGACAGTTCAGCACGGAGGGAGGCTGCATAGGAACATCAGTTCGTACAGATCAACAAATTGTCATAGCTGTAAAAAATACCCATTTAAGAGTTCAACGGATCTTTGGATATAACCTTAAGAACAGAGCGTTGGCGAGCTACGGTAGCAGTTCTACATGCCCGGAAACTATCAAGAAAGCCTTTTTATTTCTGAAAAGAATCGCAAAGCCAGATTGGGTTTCCCAAAAGAATACATATAATGTTCTCTGACGAATTAAAATTAAATATTAACCAGTGAGCGGAGCAGTACAGTCGGACGGTGCCGACCACGAAAATCTAACTTTCTGTGGTTCTATATTCTGAGCTTGTGCAAATTCACACAAAAAATTAAGTTTTCCGTCCACTTCATCCCAGTATTATTATCTGATCATCACCGAAAATTATACGCGTTGTCCTTGACCATACCTGGATCCTCATGGAAAATTTCCAAACTATCAGCGCTATATTTCAGCCCTCTAGTGTGACAATGGGTTACTAAATAATATATAAATACGTAGGCACTGCAAATATTTAAGTGTAACTCCCACATCCAAGTACATATGACAATATAATTTAAAGGTCTCTGGTCTATATCCTTCAGGGGTAAATATATACGCTATAGAATACAAATTTTGAAATTTTTCACACAAAAGCCCCCTAAATATTGACCGATCTTTATCAAAATAGGCACGCCTATTCTTTGGCCTTATCCCCTTCTCCATTGATCGAGGGGGTTCACAGGCGTTCAACCTTCCGATTGAGAGATTTGTGCAACCACCCATTGGCTATTTCATTGGCAAAATCCGCTTGTTCTTCGACGAGGTAGTCGGCAAACAGATGGTCGAGAGAACCTGGTTGCAGAATCTCAAAGCTATCTGGTCAGAATTATCTCGTCGAAGAACTTCTTCGCTGTTGTCACATAATAAGAGAGAGATCAAAATCATTGTGTGTATCATAACAGGTCACTGCAAGATTAGATCCCTCACTTCGAAATGGGACTCCAACGGAGAGGATTACTGTCGTCTAAGTGATGACGAAGAGGAGCTAGAAACAATTGATCATAATATCCTCTGTAGATGTCCATCGCTGAGTGACAGTATGAAATTGATAATCTAGCTTTCTTCTCCAAAATATACCCCAATTAGATTCTAGGCTTTGTCAAAAATCTGGCATGGCTAAAATAATCATCTTCTGGGCTCTCCAACTCCAACTATTTCCTCCTCTCTTCTATTCTCTCTTATTTTCGCCATTCTTTTCAGGTATCAAGGTGGACAGTTGTTTCCGAGTGAACGGTTGTTATTAAAACCCGTATATCCCTAACCTATCATAGATAGACAAATAAAAAAGAGTCTCTCCAAACAAACAGGCATAACCTCTTTCCAAAGGTTCAGGATGCGGGGAATATTATATCCAATGATCAAATTGAGCATTTTATTGATGCAATGCTATGCTATACTACCAAAATTTGCTGCTTTATAAAAAATCAAAAATTTGCTTTATTTTTAACCAGATAAAAATTGAGCCAATTTAGTTTTCCATATATTTTTTATTCCAAAATAAATTTTGCGTTTATATATATATATATATATATATATACATATATTTTTACCTATTTAATTCTGAAAAAACGTTTACTCTAAATGTATTCAAAAAGTTACAGGTCATTTATGAAGTTTGTAATTTCAGTTGCTTTAGTTTTGACCACCAGTGTATATTGCCAATTTTCGAAGAAGATTTGATTTATACAATGAATATTGGGGTTACCATTATATGGAAGCTATAACACACCGATATATCCAATTTTCCAATATAAAACATTCTAGGAATAAAAACAATTTATCGACAAAATTTCGAAGCTCTATTTGAAAGTTGCATGATTTCAACAGACGGACTGCATACATTCTAAATAATACATTTTATTCTAATCCAGAATAAATATATTTTCTAGGGTCTCCGTTGAATATTTAGAGGTGTTGCGAACGAAACGACAAATTTAATACACACTGTCTATGGTGGAGGATATACAAATGTATAGGTAATGATGCAACTGATGTAATTTGCAAGAAGAGAACCAACAAACAAAACAATGTCATGTTCCAACATTACTGGTTTAATGGCATCGAACATGTAGAGAAGGCGGCAAAGAACGAGCAAGAAGATGCACAAAAGAACCACACAACACTGTAGCACACAACACACCTCACCACAACTTTGTAAATCTTTGGCTGGTGTAATGCCACCACACTTCCTCTTGCTGCGGCTGCTGCTGTTCGTGAAGGCTACTCCACACTATATGATTGCTCAATGTTGTTTTTTATCTCGAATATTTTTCTTTTTTTGTTTTAGTTCTACTCAGCAGCGTTTTGCCCTACTTCGCTAATGGTTGGCTGCTGACTGCCAACCTGCCTGCTACTGTTGCTTACTCTTGTCGCCGTCGTCTTCGTTCGTTGGTTCTTTGGATGGTTGTTGTCGTCGAATGTAAGTTCTTGTGAAGGCAATGCACATTCGTTGTAACCTTTAACCGATATGGGTCAATTTAGACTGTCTGTCTGTCTGTCTTTATTCCTTCATTTGTTGTTTCCATTTTGTTAGATTTACCCCATGAACAAGAAGTAGGACGACATACAAACATGGACGACATATATAAAACAATCGATGTTGAAATTATCTTACAAAATAATATACAGTGGGTGTCGATTGAATGTAGACGAAAAATAAGCTTTGCATAAAAATATGGGTTCCAGAAAGACAAAAATTGTACATTTTCAACATTGGTTATGCTTTGGATGATATGAGATCGAAAAATAACCGTTATGTTCAAATTTCTGTCT